ACTGTTCTGGCGATTTGGATAAGATCGCGTCGACCAGCTGTACATAAAAAAGTAATAATATTGTAATTAGCCCAAGAGGGTTTTAAGCAAGTCCTACGGGCGACAACGACGATTACTATTCCATTCAATTCAATACGACAGCATGAGATTGTCTACATCGAACGTACTGATGTTGAGAGACTTCTCCTGCGCTCTCATGTAACATTTCGATAGCGTTGCATATGCGCACCGAATTTCCTTGGCGCGGATTTTGGCCCGTCATGAGGTCTGCATCTCTTATCTTGCGCTTCAATGATACCTTCACACCCTAGAAAAGTAACCGGAAGTATTTGAATACAACCACAGATTTACTGGTCGCGGCTGGCTGTCAAGGCATATGGTTTCATCCGTGGGGTGAATACCTAGCATTAATGCCTCGTCCACCTCGAGGAGCGACATGAGTACCGTATCAATGCGTTGGCGGCGATATTCTAATTGATCGACGATGAGTCCTTCGTTTTCCGCGAAATCAGTCGTTCACCGCTCGACAACATGCGCAATCTTTTCCACCATCGCGTTCAATACAGGCATCAGGATGCCTGTTGAATTCTGATCCTGCACTTACTGCTGGAATGGAGCTCATACCGAGCATCTTTTGCCGGGAGCCAGTTTGAGGAAGCGGATCATCTGCCCCGAGTGCTACGTCTCGAAATCCGGTCCGGTATCATTGGTCCGCTCCGCGGCGTCAATGCTTGAGCATATTGTCGAGGTCACTCAGTGATGCAGTCCAAAGGATGACCGTTGCGGAGCTTTCGAGGAGTAGGATGAGATTGGCTATGCACCAGCTAGCCAGATGCGCTCTTTGAGACTGCAAAGGGGCGCTGGTGTCAAGGACGAGGCACTTTGCTCGCGGCCTGGGACGACTGATTCATGGACTTCCCTTACTGATCAACGTCAAAGTAAGGCAACGAGGAGTCGATTACTCATGACTGCTGGCAGTAGCTACCACTACTGATATCAGGGTTAATGGCTTGCTGCGTGTTGGCTAGACCCGTCGGCTGGCTCGAGTTCACGGTCTAAATCAAAACAAGTGTTCCACTTCCATCTCTTGCTTCTTATCAAACATTCTCTGCAGTGCGATCATCACTATTCATAGACCTGCACGCTGGAGACTTCCTTCGACTCGAACCTCCCAGAAGGTACGAATGATAGCACGATGCCCTCGGAAAAACCACAATGCGTTGAAGCTTATATAGCCGCGCCGCTGGTTGTGAGCCACACAGCTTAAGAGCGCCAATGGTACGAAGCGAGGCAGTTGCGGCTACAGTCAAGTCGCGTAAGTCGAGTCATTCAACGACTACACGAGCTATCTTTGGCTCTTGATTCATCTCCTACTTCCATGCCAGAAGTCTTGTAGTGAAATCGGGATCAAGTAAAGCTGTGCCGGTGATCCGCAACACGGTACAGAAGATGGTGTTATCATGTAGCCTACCCTTCGCTCTCCTCTCCCTCATTCCCGTCCTAGCAAGCCCACCTTCTACCCCGTCCAAATCCCCGCCCAGACTCAACTCAAACACCACCTCCTCATCCACGCCGAACGCATCGTCCACCGAAGACGCCGCCCTGGACATCCGCTGCAGCGGCGAACACTTCGGCTTCAACCCCAACATCATCGACTGCGAATCCGCAAAGGAACACGTCACGCCCGACTCGGTGCAATACACATGGGGCAACCGTCATACCGGGCTGGAAGCAATAGTGTTTCCGCTTCCGTATCGGATCATGGGAGGTCAGTAGTCGGCCGACACCGCTTTATGTTATATCATAGGCCTCACAATACATTTCTTGGAGCATGGTAATATGTGAATAAGACGATGCTCATGTTGACAACAAACAGACCGCGCCCTCTGCTTCTTCCAAACCAGCCTCGTCTCCGACGACGCCCGCACCGCCCTCGCCAGCCTCGGCCAGATCCGACGCGCCGCCAGCGCTCTGATCCTGCAGTGCGCGGCGGGCGGCGAGTCGCGGGGCGGCGTCGCCCGCAACATCGGTAAGCCGACCACTTCACTTCCTCCTCGACCCGGTAGATTTTCAAAATGCAAAAAAGGAAAATCACGCTTTCCCTGGGCCATCGCATGGCTTTCGATTCCGTAATCTCCACGCACTACTGATCAATGGTGATTTTCGAACGTACGCAGGCGGCGACAACAACCTCGCCGTCGTCCTCGGCATCTACGAGCCCAAGGTGCGCTGCCGCGGCGCCTTCGGCCCGGAATGGACGTCTTGCCGCGACGTGCTGGGCGACATGCCGGCCGGGGTGGCGCGGCTGATATTCGGCCCCCGGACCGCGCCCGAGACGCAGCAGGGGTTGCCCATTTATATCGATTCGTGTAAGTGTCGACCGTCGAGCGTGTTCGTTTGAGCTTTGATTCCGTAAATCGCAGTCTGGATGACATGCACACGTACATACGTACGTACGTAAGATACATAAAAACTGACGCGCGGGATTTGTGAACGCGAGCAGCGGACGACAAATGCGTCGTTCAGATCTTCTCGACCGGTCCATCCGACATCAGCACGTGGTATCGCATGTGGGAGGCCGTGACGGCCGTGTTCAGCGTGTGCGTGCGGGCTGGACGGGGAGGGGTTTACACGGGGCTTGGTGAGTTGACTTATCTACTTACTTACTTACATATTTATTATTGGATGCAAGGAAGAAAGCGAGGGGAATTGCTGACGGTCCGCAATAGGAGATCTCGGCAACATATTCCTAACCATGAGTTCCTCCGCAGCAGCGGCGGCAAGGATCGAGTCGTTGCCTGGGAATGCGTCTTCTCTGGAGGCCACGGCATAGCGGGGTACGCACCGCAGATGGATACAGGACTGGTCGGTAGTAGCTTGTGATGAAATGGTTCACTCATACCGGGTATACAATCTCTTTCGCTAACCTTTCATGTGACACGGCGACTTGGTGAGTTCACAACCGAGCGAAGATCACTGACGCTCAAAACGAGCGTCACGATTCGACTCGCTGAACGAGCTAGCATTTAAAAAGGTATCTCATGTACGAAAAGAAGACAAAGAGCGAACCCCTCCACAATCCTTCCATGCATCCTAGTGCAAACCTATCGAAAAGCAGCAGTGACTCCCCCACGTATGGCCCTGATGAAACCAGCGAAATCCTTCCAAAAACAGTAACCCCACAAAGACAAGTCCTTCTGATCGTTGCTTCTTTGTTTTTGCCTTTGGCCCCCAGTCAGCCAGAAGCACTGAAAGTACCGGAGCTAGTAGTCATGTCGCGGTGTTCTTCTTGCCCGCCCCTTCCGGCGTCATGGCTTTCAATCCTTTCTCCGCCTCCCGCGGCCGAGACCGGCGGAGGCGAGGCGCATTTCTCTCATTCACGCTCCATGACGAGAAATGAATACTGAAATTCCAGCCCCCGAGGTGCCTTTGTACTCGACGGGGCGGCATCGGAATCTCCTCCTGCGGACCGCCCTCGTCTCGGGACTATCTTCGCCCGCTCCTTCTCTCGCGCGTATGAACGCAGGCAGACTGAGTCCCGAAGCCATATAGTGCGTTGAGGGTCTCTGTCCAGGGCATCCGTCTTCGGGAGAATTGCAGGGCCGTATCCGAACAGATTCGGTCTCCGGGTGTGTGGAAAACATCTCTCCCACGGTTGGGGCCAGAAGGGCGGAGAGGGGCGGTCGGACGGATCCTCCCAGAAATCAGACTAGGTTCTCTTCCTCTTGTCGGAAGACCAGCTCGCCGACGTTGGGTTCTGCGACTGATGATTGTAGGAGCGGCGACTGGCTTGTTTCCGATGACGGAAAGTTTCTCTGCTGCCTAGTCACAGGATACGACGACCAGCTCTCGGCTCACAGCTTGGCATAACTCGGAGGAGTCCCTTTACCGTCTCTCTGGCGCAAGCGACGAAAGAGACCGATCTACAAGCCCTTACTGTTGTAGAAAGTGAGTGACAAAGAACCACCCGATGCGCCGGGGATGAGTCGACGCATCCCAGATACCGAACTTGTTGCCGGACGCCTTCAATTCGAGAAAGGAGCTTCACAGCGTGCCCCTGAGGGAGTAGAAGGAGGTTCGGCACTTTACTATAGCCCAGGGGACTGGCCGCCAGGATGTACAAGTGAGACCGGTGGCGACATTCTTACATGTCATCATCGCTGCGAATACCGGCACGACGGACACGAGTTGTGCCGAACGCATCGAGAGTGACGGGAGCATCTTCATCAGCACTCGACTATGGACGATAGCATCGCAGGTGGGATGTGATGCCTCTCCGTTACACCTTATAGTCGCGCGATACTGGCTCCGTATAACGATCTCCCTTGCAGGCACAAGCCTCGAGATGACGGAAGAGCCTGGGACACAGCCGATGACCTTGCGATGTCAGTGTACGAAGATCTTGGACTGAAAAGTAGATTGGCACGCAGGCGCAAACATTGTCGGATTATCAGAACCATTTCATCGCATCGTCGACTGCAGCACTCAAGCCAAAATCGAGCTGGGGTTCGCTACCTTACGATCGCTCCTGAAGACACCATTGAGGGAAGGCATTGCGATGTTCACGGATCTGGGAGTGGGCAATGAAGCCGAGAACGAAGAGAAGAATTGCCACTCTACGCTTTCCCAAAGAGGGTCTCAACGCTCCACTGTTCCTGCGCTTCGATTCTGGAGGGAGCAGTGCTCCCGTGACGGTGGAGTGGTAACGGTGGAGTGGTAACGGTGCGATAGGTGAATGAAAATACGTGTCCATATGTTAAAGTCGCTACCGGACAGTGAATGATAACGCGTCAAACGCCAGCAGCGCATGAGTTGAAAAGCATGATGATACCCAAACACAACACACCCAGAGCTGATACAGCGGCATTCGTCGGTTACACACCCGATTCCTTCAAAGAAAAAACACACCGGACATTCCACCCAAAACCCCCATCCCCACGCCATTTATGCCTTGCACAATGGACGCTGTGACATCCAAGAGAGCGCCAGCACTCCATCACCTAACTACCAGGTTTCAACCACACAACCGCACACCACTCGTTATTATTGAGCGTATGGCACCCATTCCACCGCCCATGGCCCTCATCATCGTGCGTCGTCGCATTGATGCCCGCCGTGGAATCGTACCGCAGACACGCCTCCGTGTAATGGGCGTCCATGGCGTGATCGACCGAATACCGGTCCTTCAACCCGGTCCCGTAGCCGGTGTAAAAGTCCAAGACCTCGTCGGCCAGGAGGGAGCGGCTGAGGCTGTAGGATTGCATCTGGAAGGCGTCGTAGTAGCCGTAGGCGCCCGTGAAGACGTGCCCGTCGCCCTGGCAGGACGGCTCGGTGTACGTGATGAATGTGAGCTGGGAGAAGAGGAGGCCGGGGTCGAGGCCCAGGGGTGGGGGGAAGTCGCGTGGTAGGACGGCGTTGGTGGTGGGGAGGGCGAGCGCTGTGGCGGCGATGAGGGCTGCCGTGAGGAGCAGTGTCATACTTGCGAGCGTTGTATGATCGTTTAGAGGGGAACAGGAGAGGTTATGTACTCAGATGGAGGGATCAGATATTTTTGCTTGAAAATGGTTCGCAGGGTTGGAGATGATGAGTACTTAGGTGGTCAACGACCCGTGATACTCCCAGAGAGAACGCACGTGGGAGAGGAGAATTATTCCACAAAGGTTTTCTGTAAATAGAACAAGCGTCTGCCTCCTTTATGCTGACGGAGGTCTTTGAATGATTGTTTCATGGTTCTTTTGTTGCCAGTTTCAGGGCCAATTTCAAAACGCCGGCCAAGTCAACGTTTCATCTTCTTTTGGGCGATCTTCCCTATTTCTTTCTTATTTTCCTAGAAAGGCAGTCCTTGTCCGGGAAGTTGAGATGGGGGCTTGGAGTTTGCGGTGCTCCTTTCCTAATCCTTGCCTGAAACATCTCAAAGGATCAGAAAGAGACGTCACGAGGTGTCAGACAAACACTCGTTAGAGACAAATTTGAAACGAGATTATTTGCAGGAATACGAGGGGCTTCTTTCTTGTCCAATGAAGCGATGCTGTCAACGCTGAAACGTGCACCATGCACCGCTGGCTGCGCATGTGAACAATGTTCCAATGCCCAAGGCCGGTATGGATGTAGCAAAAATTGTCCTTAGCATGGCTCTCCCCTCATTTCTCCCTCTGTAATTGAGATGCGTGCTTTAAAAAGGTAAGACGACATCTCAGTCGTTCCTAACCCCAGATGTCTGTCCTTCTGACAGCCTTTGGCTTGTTTCTAGTTCGTCACGCGAAGTAGGCGCCGTTGGCCACAAATCGTTGCTCGTAGCAGCGCAGACGTAAGGTCAAGCATTGTTGTGCACATATGCAAATGCACCGCATATAGACTTTTCTCCCTGTATACAGAGAAGTGATAAAGAAATGATTGAAGCGAAAGGATGGAAGAGTCTTGGCAGCTCTCCCAAACAGATCAGGCTGACAGTGTCACCAGGCGTTGATTGACCAATAGCCTTTGCAAAACATATCAATGCTTCCACCTTCAACAGCCCTCGACTCTCTCGCCCAGAACCGTCATGACTGCGAATGTTTGACCTTCTATCTTTCTCCCTCACACCCGGCAAAATGACTAAAAATACACCAAACGCCACTGACAATTCGAATCGCATTATCAAAAATCAAATTCAACGCATTGGGGTGTCTTCTCGCGGCATCGATTCCTTCCCAACACCCTGCTTATCCAATCCCTCGAGACTAAGTTCAAACCCAAGATTCCAAGCCAATATCGCATCCTAGCGTCAGATACATCTTGCACTCTGACCTGTGGCACTTAAGAGCGCCGGCGCCTTGTCATGCAATGGTTTACGGTAACCATAGTATCGCACACCACTCGTTCTTGTTAAGAGTATGGCACCCTGCAGTCTTCCCATTGTGCCCGCCCCCCCCAGTAGCCTGATCCTTTTCAGTAGCATTTATCCCCGCCGTTGCGTCGTATAGCCAGCAAGCCTCTGTATAATGTCCATTCTTGGTGGGATCGTGCGTATTATTGACTGTCAGATCTGTCGCCGAGCCAGAGTAGAAGTCTAACACTTCATGGATAGTGAGTGTGCGGGTGAGCCTATAGGATTGCATTTGGTGGGCTTCGTAGAAGCCATAAGAGCCTGTGTAGGTACCCGCGGGTTCACCTTTGCAGTGCGGCTCTTCGTATATTGTGAACGTGAGGGCGGTGAAAGGAGACCCCTGGTTGCGTCCCAGAGGCTCAGGAAAGTCGCGTGGTAGGATGGAGTTGGTGGGATTGGGGAGAGCGAGCGCTGTGATGGCGATGAAAGCCGTTGCAAGAATCAGTGTCATATTTGTGAGGCGTCGTATGATTGTTCCAATGCGAAGGTCTTGTGTGCCGATGTAGATGGAGTATGCCTTGTTGGTTTTTCTTTGAATAATTTAGATGGGCTATGTCTGGTTGGTTTCTCTTGTAACGAGGTAGAAGGTTTATGTCTTGTTTCTTGAGAATAATCAAAAGGACCTGGGGATGATGGGTATTCATAAGGCCTACATACCGTCACGTGCTTCCGTGAAACGTACGTGAAAGAGGAAAACTGCCCAACCTACTGATAGAGGATGTTTACCCTCTTGAGCGGAACGAGTAACGAAGGCTCGTTTCATTTTTCTATTACGTCTCAAGTCCTTTATCGCAAACATGCCAGGTGACTCACAGATTCATCTTATGGTGAAAAACATCCCTTCTGCTTTTTCACTCGCCTAGGCAAGGATGCCTTGTCTAGGTAATCGTATTAGACGAATGTCTGGAGTTTGCGACAGATGTTTTAGGAAGCTGGTGCTTGCATGAAACACTTTCGAGGTAAGAAAGAAACGCCATCTTGTGCCTGGTATGTCCAACACAAACACTGTCGCAATTTTGCGACTGCTCAGCATCTATTTGTCCCAAGAATTGTTTGAGATTGGTCGTCTCTTTCACAATTGAGAAGTGGCGGAGGACGATTTGAGATTCGTTCAATTGAACGAAAAGTCTTGGCAGCCCTTCCATAAGGCTGACAGCAATAGCTTAACCAATAGCGTCACTGCTGGTGCTGCAAAGTACATCAGCAACTCAACCCTCAACACCCCCACACTCCCACACCTAACACGTCTTGACAGCGAGTATACTGCATCACCCTCACAGCGCTTTTATCCTTTGCCACCATGGCCTCCCCCAATCCCAACCCCAACCCCACCTCCGCCCCCGATCCCTCCACCACCCAACAACCCTCCATCACCGACGACGCCGAGCTCGACCCCGATATCGACATGGCCATAGACCCCGCGCCTCCCGACCCCGAGAACCCAGCCCTGGACGAAGCGCTCCCCGAGCCCCGAGAAGCGACCCGGAAGGACATCTCGCTGCGGGATTTCCTGGGCAAGATGGACGACTACGCACCCATCGTACGTTTTTCTCCCCGACCTCGCATCACTCAGCAAACAGAAAAACTCACTGACGCGCATCCAGATCCCCGACGCAGTAACGCAGCACCACCTCCTCCTGGCCGGGCTATCCCCCACCACGACCCCGCTCCCCCTCGCGCGGCTCCTCGCGCTGGCGACGCAGAAGTTCATCGCCGACATAGCAGCCGACGCGTATCAGTACTCGCGGATGCGATCCTCCGCCACGGGCGCCGGGCAATCCACCACCGCGGCCGCCATACCGGGAGCGGAAGGCGGGGCGGGGCAGCAAGCCGGGGCCGGGAAGGCTGGCGGCGGGGGGAAGGACGACAAGGGGAAGAGTGGGCAGCATGTGTTGGGGGTGCAGAGGGCGGGGTATGGAGGGGGTGGAGGGGGGGGCGGGCAGGCGGGACGGGCGGTGTTGACGATGGAGGATTTGGGGTGTGCGGTTGGGGAGTATGGGGTTAATGTTAAGAGGGGGGAGTTTTATCGGTGATGCGGGGTTGGGTGGTAGTAGAATGATGGGGATTGCATGGATGAAGGCGCAGGCATTGCGAGGCGTTTTGACCCGGATAAAGTCTCGCGAGAAGGGTATGCATAAGCCAACATTATTTGGCCAAACGATATGGAGGCACTATGAGTTTTAGAAGGTTGTCATGACCCGTAGAATCCGTAATGATCTGGTGTCAAGCTTGATCTACATACATACACGTTCGTTTGCTCGAGTGTCAAAATCTGGTGCCTTTCCCCGCCCTCCCGTGGTATCTATTAGCATGAACGTATGCAGTCAACTATGTATTGCTCCAAACTAAAGAAGTCCTCATCAAAGAGCAATCCCAAATGCTCTCAAGTTGTGTAAGGTACTGGAACAGACTCATTGTCACCAGTCACACCTTCTGCATGCACCTTCGATATCTGGTAATGAAAAAAGGTATGTAGCGGGTGCAACAGGACGTCATTGAATGAACGGCATCGTCGAAGAAAGATTGAGAACCATGGGCGCCTTCTTATACTGAACCTTGACTGGGATTTTTTTGAGCTAGCGGCAACGAAGTTGTGTCAAGGCCCTCATCGGTGATAGGCACATCTCAATCAAACGAGGAGAGCTGGATCGGTGTTTGATGAGTCCAAATTAGGCTTATGCATTGCTTGAGTATGCAAGTTGAGGGTATTTGGTCTGCCGTCGATCCCGTTCATGTAAACATTCGTAGGTAACATTTGTGCTTGCTGTGTCCGATGCTGCTCTGGTTTTTCCTGCTTTAGTAGTGCGATCTCTCCAACATCGTCCCTTAGCGCGTCGGCGCTTTCTCCAGCAACATCCTGTCCGTTTGCGGTACCGAAATCAGCCTCTGTCCTGTTGCCCATGGCACTATCATGGCCACCGTCTGCATCTCCCATAACGATGTCACCATTCTGCACAGCACTTTCCTGATCTTCCCTATCTGTTGCAGCTTGATCTGACTCCGGCAGCTGCCCTCCGGCAAGAGCTAAGACACCTTCGACATGAGCACGATCCTCACTCGTTGCACTTTTAACCTTAGCCTCATTCTTGGCCGCTTGAGCTGGCGCTCTTGTCTTCAACTCGCCAGTGACAAATTGTAGATAATACGGAACCTCGATGCCGCTCTTCAAAAAGAAGAGCTTGAGATTGCGCGCTTTGTCCTTGAGCTGGACTTGGTTTCGATCCTTGAGTACTTCGTTGATAGTACCACCTGGACCAAACATTGCGAGAATCTGACTCCAGTGAGGTCCTTTGACACGATCCAGGCCTGCCATGAGCGAATTCTCTTCTTCTATAGTCCATGGGCGACGTTGACTTGGATGGCCGGTACGACGATTGTTCGGAGACGATTTGGCTGTGGCAGCTTGCCTTGCCCGTTCATATAGCACCGAAGTAGGTGCTGATTGTGTTGGGTAGGGAATGAGATTCGGGTCGCTATATGATGGATGAAGTTGTCCCATGTTCATTTGCCCTTGCCCTTGCCATTGTTGTTGGACGGGTGTACGTCCTTGTGCTTGCTGAGGATGGTCATATGGCGTCAATGTCCAATGAGGCGGTGGTGGAGCAGGTACATTTGGATGAAGCGGATGCTCAAAGTGATACTGGATTTGGGGCAAATCCCCTTTCATAACGGGTTGCACTGAACCCGGGGTTTTGGTTTCATCTGATGACTGAGTTTCTTGCAGAGGCTGTTGAGGAGTTAAAGAACCTTCATTGTTTCCAAAGTCCTGCATCGCGACAGGAGCTGCACGTGCCGCCCTCTCAGCGATGTCATCATTTCCGGAAATGCGAGGATCAATGTGAAGGTTTTCTGTCTCCGCTGGGGCGGGCAATCCTCCTAGTGAAATTTCACCTTGCATTTGCGGCATCTGCCGAGTATGGCGTTCTTGTTGTGGTACCTGCTGCTGTTGTAGTGTAAGACGCTGCTGCGACTGAGGCTGTTGTTTACTCTTTTCGGCGGTAAAGACGTTCGATCCGCGGCCGGGGCGAGGCGTCTTACGAGCCTTGCCAGAATGTCAGCGAGCACTTCGCAGACGGTCAGAATGCACTCACAGCTATACCAGCAATGGCCTCGAAGTTCTTGCTCACATATGTACTAATGTCCCTCAAGAAATCTTCCCAAATGTATTTCCCTGGCAGAGCCGCCATCGCTGCTTCGGTGTTTGGTTCTTCAAGCAACGCCTTCCTTCGATTCTGAGCACGCTGCACAAATTCCGCTTCGCTCGGAGCCAACTGTTTAGCGCCAGTTCTTCGCCTCAGCAAGCGATCCCCTAGGTCATGCGGAAATAGGTCATCAAGAATTGCCTCTCTGCTACGTTCGCCAGTGGTTGCAGCAGATATGTAGGCCTGTGTCTTCAGATCCAGGAGCAACTGAGCTTGATTCTTCAAAAGACGGCCGCCATCTGCGACGAAGGTGTCAAGAAAGTTTTCGTTAAGATGATAGAATCCTACGTCTTGGCTCCCAAAGACACTCGAAACGAATGTAGCCATGTTTGCTTTCCTGATTGTATCAAGATGGGCGTTCTCCACAAGTCCAAGCTCATAAGGGTTTAGGAAAGGCTCAGTGATCGAGTAGACCTTCTTAGTATGATCGAAAAGAGACTTTAGAGTCGCGTAGGCTTGACCGGGATCGGAGTCAGGTTTCGTGGCTATGGTAAGGATTTCTTGGTATGAGGACTTGGCTAAGGTATTTATGATTTGTGTAGCCTGTACTCCTTAGCGAACACATCGTCTCGGTGACCCATAGCAGCTTACCAAATTGTCCAAGATGGGAAGGCTTTGAAGCTTGAGATGTAGACTAGCTCCTAGTTGTGAATAGCTTTCTGTGTCCACCATACCCATTGCAGCATACCCTTGGGAGGCACAGTGGCTTTCAACTGTCTCACCATGGTTGATGATGTCTGCAATAACGGTGTTGATGTCTGGTGGATGTGCACCTTGGGGAGAGGGTTGCCCAGATGGAAGGTGCCGATTGGAAGTAGGCGCTTCCTGGGGAGGCTGCTGAATGCTAGGCGCGGAGGCTGGCGAGGCAACTGGAGGAGGAGTTTCAGGTGCTGCCGATGCCGCGTGTACAGGGGGTTGTGGTTCTTCATGGGAAGATGCAGGCATGCTCTGTTGCGAAATAGCAGCTTGCCCACGTTTGCCACGGGTAGATGCACCCCTATTAGGGTGTGCTCGTTTGGGCGGTGGAGAAGAGTCCTCGCTATCCTCATTGTACATCGGGCTCGTACGGCGTCTCTTGCGGAGTCTGCTCCCAATAGTCTCCATACTATCGTTTCGAGTAGTTGGAGGTTTGGCGAAGAAGATGGGGGTGGAGATGCTTTTTAGATATCTCCTATGAGGCAGCGCAGTGGCGAAGAGTCAGTAGCTTGTGATGGAACTAGGGGACAAGGGTCACACTGAGCATGTGTTGCTCTACGCAGACCAGACACAGCTTGTGGGTACTCAGGGAGCAGGCTCGACCCAAGAATTGCTAGGAAAGCTATCTCTGAGCTTACCTAAATGTGCCGCAGAGCCTCCTAATATCTGAACTGAACGAGGTGAAGGAAGTAGAAAAAGGATGCTGGTCTTGGTTCGAACTTGTGTCCGGACCGCGTTGTATTCAACTTGTCGCGAGTGTTCACAGTGCCTCGAATCTTTGATCCGATCTTGCCCTGCGCCAAGGTACCTTAGCTCCTGACTTGCCGGGTGATCTTCCGCTAGTCCAGAGCCAGCATGACGAAAAGTATAAATCACCTGAATTGGGCTTTTCAATCCTCCAAAAGTCCATGCCAGATCTTATGTAGCTACCAGCGATTCAAGAATGTGCGCTCCATTCATAGATTCTGCATTTAGAAGGAGGATCTAGAGTCATCGTATGAGGCTTTCGACCATGAGATAGTCGTCGATTTTCTAGTCATCCGCAAAAGTGCCGTGACGAATCAAGCGACAGGCTACGTCTTTCATCCCTTCAACGGAAATTGACGAGGAATGAAGCACCGTCAGCGTAAAGTAACCTTGGCTGTTACTTTGTCATCGAAGACACCACAGCCTGTGATAGATAGAGTCCACTATGATGCTGTACTTCTTTGGCGTGCAAATCTCATGGCACCATCGGCTGAAATATGGCTTGCTACTCTGGAGGCAATGCATCAAATTGAATATCCTGCCATTGACCCTGAGCCCTAGTGATCTGATTAACCTCCAGTCGCTTCCAGAAACTTGTCCTCACTTTACCATGACCCTTCTGACCCGTGCTAGACCATGCCATGAACCAGACTCTGATGAGGCAAATAAGAGCCTTTTACGAGACAAGGACTTCGTGCTTCCTATACCAAAAGTTAGAACAAAATTAGACCGGTTTTCAGATGCGGGGAGAAGCCTCATTAACCAAATGATTTGAAGTTTGTATCAGTTATACTCGACACGTCAAATGCTTGCAAGCCATGCTACATCGCCGAATTGGCAGTCGCCCCTCTTGTGCTCCAATATTCATTAAAGCTTGAGAAGTTGATGGACTCCAGCATTTGGTGTCTTGCAATAATTTATATACATGAATAGTGGCAAAAACGTGGACTCTGGATACACTCCCATCCGCCCACAAATATCGTTTACCTTTCTCTTGTTCACAAATGTCAAAGGTAGAAGATGCACATGATTCTCAGAAGGAAGGAGTTACAGCCGCTCTTGCCAAATAGGAGATCTCTGTGCTCCGGCTAAGACATTAGAGCATTCTCGTTTTTGTAAACATACCTTCTCAAGCTCAACAACCTCATCGCCGTCGGCAACCATCACACTAATTGCCACCAATAACCTTTCGCTCACATAATCGACGGGGATCATCGCTGGCACAAGTTGTCTGCTTCTAGTGTTTGAAATTTCTTCTACTCTAGGTGAGTCAACTTACACACCATCACAACTCCATACCCAAACCCAGACACGACAGCCGCCTGTCCAAAAGCAGCTCTACAACTATCAAATGCAGTCCTCAGGGGCCTGGACAAATGTCCCTTCCCCACCCCGTATGCAGAGTGTTGATTCTAGCCCAGGAACAGATGCATTCTCCCTGATCAACGCGAACCCTGAACTCAGCGAGACCAGCTACCCTGACCTCGACGCCATAAGAAACATGGCCCTACCTTTAGCAAACGACCGCCCATCTTCTGAGACCCTCCCTCGTTTCAGATCTACCATCGTTGATTGGGTCCAAGAACAGTCTCAGCACGATCAACCCTCGAACGATGCGACCGAGCTTCAACGCGCTCATGTCGCCGGGGCTCCACCTTGTGCCAGCCAAGCAAAACAAGCTCTTGCTAAAACAGACGACCATGCCTCTCGTCAAGAAGGCTGTCAGCCAGCGAAGAAGGTGTACGACATTGCAACTCTGCTGAGGTTGAAAGAGACACAGCCCGCGGTGCCAGTTATGTTGCGCGTTAAACCGGAGGCCATCGCAGGTGAGTGCTATGATGTTCCAGCTTTCCAAGCTTCCATGAGATGAGCTAAATTCTAGTTCCAGAGAACATCTTCCAGTATATGGGAGCTGCAACGTCACGTCGACTACCAACACGCTCTCGGGGCCTGTCTGACGTCTCCAACATCTCTTCTGGAGTCGCAGAAACTCACAGCCACACCGTTTACCCTGCAGGGAAATCAAAGTACATGCATCAGCCATTTCGTCAACCACATGCTCCTCCAGAGACTTCTATTTTACAGCGACACGATGGTTTTGCGCGATTCTTGAAGCAACACGCTTCTCCTCCACACCATCGAGTGACAGCGGGAGGTCGCATCGTTCCAGCTGGTCCCTCCTCGCCGCCACCGATGCTAGATTTTGGCTCGCTCAACGGGCTTCTTCGAGACGGTCCAGCAACGGCAAGATCTTCTCAAAAGGAAAGCCGCTCGACTCAATCAAACACTCGTACACAGAACCCACAAGCAATATCCTCCATGACGTTAGGTGACTATTTGCAAAGCCAGGGCGGCAGTGTCGGTGGTATGAGCCTTCAGCATGCACCTCAGACTACCTCAACGCAAACAGCCATTCCCTTCAACGATTTGCCATTCGGGTACCAATCTTTCATGGGTCCAGCAATGCAAGCGCAAGCTCCTATGGTACCCATGGTGATGTTTCCGGACGGTAGCACCCTTGTCTCTTATAATGGTGTGAACTATCGCGCATCTTGGAACGGGGTCAGCACGAGTATGGAGCCATTGCAGCCTTTTCACCTACCTGTTGATCAGCAGTACTATCCCCAAGCCAATCTACAAGGATATCTCAACAACTCTCACTACAATTTTGCTCCTCAGCCCTCACAGGCTTCAGCTCCGTCCATACCCCTGGCGAGCGCTACCAATGTTGCTCGGCCAGACATGTCAAAGAGTGACGTACCTTTTCACCAGAGACAGAACGGTGACGAGCTAAGCTTGAAGACCGAACTCACAAACCTCGATAAGTATCTTGCTTTATACCACTATGATATAACGCCAGCGGAGCGAGCCTCTTTGATAGCACAGCGGAGACGTCTAGTGGAAGAGATTGATAGGATCCGTCTCAGTAAAGAGAAACCAAAGCATAGCATACCAATCATTACGCCTGCTGCCACTGGACTGCCAGTCACACCTGCTGCGCAAGTCGTTCCTGGTCCCACTGACTTGCGCGAGGCAGTCCAAAATGACCGAGTGGCGAAAGGAGGCACCATCAGCAAGCATCTTTCGCCTGCTGCGCCTGCTTTCGTTCCAAGGAATACTTCAAATCTACCTTCTGCCAGTTTCGGCAAGCGTACTGAAAGCCAGCAGGTCAAGCACCAACAGTTTGGCATACGAGCAGCATTTGGAGGTATTGATCCAGCACCCAAGACCCAGAACAATGCGAACTCTTCTACTTGGGCGAGTCATTCTGATCAAAAGGTCTCATTTCCGAAGACTCGAACGGTATCGCATATCGAGGAGTCGTCGTCCTCCAGTGTGTTGGACCCGTCAGACCCCGCAATGCGTGTCATAGACTATGAAGACATCGAGTACGCTGCTAGGTACCTGTACAATTGGACCAAAGACAGTAGGACCTATTGCACCACCGTTGCCGAGTTTCAAGAGGCCGTTCGTCGGGTTCGCGAGCAGGCGAGGCTGTATGGATGCGCTGGTGGTCAAAGCAAAGACCCCGCCTACGACGCTGAACAGGACCTCTGGTGGGCCATCTGCGATCGTGACCCTATCCCTTTGCCTTCCGAAGTCCCAGATCATGTCGGCAACCCTCGCCCATGGAATTGGAATGACAGTGCCTTCAACTACCGTCGTCAAGGAGCCAACAATATTCCAGGGCCGGAATGCGAGCATGCGCGCAACTCGCCCCGCATTTTTGGTTGGGATCCTGCTACGACTGACAGCATGAAAGATGTCATAGACGTATCCCGTTCATACTTTGCATTCAAAGGCCAATTACCATCCGTATCTTTCCGCGATTTTGCCTACGACCGTGACAGCAACAAGAGACTGATACAGTCTGATATCGCAGCACCTAAAGCTCATTCCAAGATCCCAAGAAAACCGGCTTATCGGAGTTATTCACCAATTGCAAGCTCGAAGCGTGAGGAACTGAGGCATAGCTTTGACTCGAGCGCGCTCGAAGAAATGAGCACAAGCGAGCTTAACATTCAGCACACAGGATCTGCCTGGAACGTTCAGCTCAAGCCTGGCGACGAGGTGAAGGTTCCCGAAGCGCCTTCGCTACCACAAGGAGTTCCCCGTACGCCTGAGCATAAGCGCATTCAGCGGCCATTCGAAGCGAGCAACATCCATTCTACTGCGCAAGCATCAAAGCCACATCTATCCACTGGACATAGAACCACCATATCTAAGAATTTCGAGACAGTTCACAATCCTCGTCAGGCTTACATTGAAGACTACCCGGAGACTCCAGTGGCAGGAAGTACCCGTTCATCCTACAAAGGAGCTGGAACTATTCAGATGAACACCGCGCCTCGCAAAGTTTACATGGGTCCAAACCTGCTGGGCAATGATGACACACGTACTGGATCTCCTATGCCAGCCTATGCTTGGGATTCTACCCTGTTCCCTGGTTCAAGCCGGAAACCAACAGAAGAGGAGTTGAATAGCATATGGTACCACACTCCACTGGATGAGGTAACCCAGAAGTACTTGGACGATATGAAAGCGTACAATACTTTCAAGAACAAGCAAGCTGATGCCGACAATCACGATATCGATGCCGCAAAAGGCCACCGTCAAACCTCGGATTCGTCGGAGCCAGTGACCGAGTCAAAGAGTCCGTGGGGCCCCGAAGAAGGTACCACACCCACGACTCCTAGCAATTCAATTCGATTTCAATCGCTGCAAACGCAAGCGAGGACGAAGGAGCATGGAGTTCCCAAGACGGCGAAGGTGAACATTCCTAGCGCGAGCACCATCCGAGCACCAATCCCGCGTCTCAACGGCAACTATCCCTTTTCTACGGGCTTCAATGCGCATAATGCCCTGGACTCTCGTGAAGTCAATGCTGTTAACGTCCCAAGGTAGTTTATGTGACTCAGCTTGCATCAAATGAAGCTTGGCTGACCTGTACCGTAGCGTTGGGAGCAGCGACTCCCACCAATTCCTCCGCAAGATGCTCAAGAGTCCCCGCTACTCGTCTGCCCAACCTATGAGCATCCTCAGCCAGATAAGCTCAACGCTGGCAGACAAAATGAACGGGAATAAGCGGGCTCAAGCGAAAGGGGTGGAACAGCTGTCTGAAAACAAGGGAAACAATGCTTCCAACGATGGTGGCATCGGCAACGGTCTTTATGCAACAATTCACCCTTCAAGCTCTGCTTCACTTGCTAGAACGAACCCAGATCTTGCCGTCGGCAAAGCTCAGTCATCTTTGGCTTCCGCCACATACCAAGCGCATGGCTATCTCCCTCAATTTGACGGCGCTGGGAAGGCTCACACATCGTCATTGTATCGTGAACAGGGCATCCAACCCCTTCCTCAAGTGCGTCTACCGTCAGAGGCTTTGTACAGCGATAGGCAGCATACCGCTGAGACTTCAAGCCATCAGAACCATGGTCCTAGCGCTTACACTGCCTCAACGACATATCACAATTCAGTGAATTTTGGATACGACGGTGGTAGAGACTCGCCTCCAGCCAAGACTACGAACGCCCCAAAAGATCAGCATTCTACGCATCCAGCGTTCAATTACATGGGTCTTACCCTGGCCGACTATGATAACCAGCGTGGGGACACCAACAACGCTTGGCATCATGGGGCTGTCGAGGACTTCTTCCAGGATCTACGTGAACAAGAACTCAAGACCATTGCGTCTCACCAACGCGTCAACACTCAGAGTGCCGCTTGATACACGCCAATGCGAGGAGGAATTCAGGACACAGCATTCTCGGATCTGTCTCGTCGCGTATTTTCGCATCGGCTTATCCACCCATCGAGCACTTCTTACTACGTCATTCCTTCTTTTCGGCCTCGTGAAACCTGCCTGGTCGGTATCTATTGGTGCTCGAGGACTTTTGTGGACGGTTTGGATTCGAGGGGCTTCTTCTTTCCGCCTTTTTGCCTTGCACTCGCTGCCTGGCGGGCATTTTTTCAATACCATTCTATCCGTCCTGCATGCTTAAGTCGGCAGGTCTTTCACACGTGTGGTGTTCTTTCGGTGTTCAAATACCGAACGAGCAGGCAGAGAGAGGTAAGACATGGTGCAATACTGTTATGCAAGCAGATGGAGAGGATCACTCGTACATCGCTCAGACTGTATCAAGATCGACGCCAGTAGTTTAGCATCTCAATCCAATACTTTATTATGCAAATTCTACTACTCTCAAATGTGTAGCATTCCAGACGGGGATCGGAAGGTTCCGGTGGAGACACAACACAAAAGGTTGAAACCTTCAGAGATCTATTGATTGGAAGTATTCATGTTTGCCACAATCCCACCCATAGTCAATGCTCCAGTTTTCCAAGCTCCGGGCAAATATGGAGCGGGACAGATCTAGTGACCCATCGTCTGCTGGGACCCTCTCCTTGTCCAGGAGGTTCTGTTCTACAAGGAGACAAACCTTGCCAGCCCCACTGCATATGCAGCTAACTCCCGCACGAAAGGGTTGAAGAATATACTCGCTGATATGAACAAGGTGTGAGGAGAGGGATTGGCGGATACATTGATAGTTGCCACGAGGGTTCAGGATATCGGACTTGGTTAGGGATGTGGATTTGTCATATGACACGTGACGTCAGGTCAGACCTTCTCGGTCATTTGACAGTCATATGTATTCAAATGGCCGCACTGCAAAGAGCTTGTAGTAAGGTGAAGCGTGGGATTCGAAGGGTATGGTGGAATTCAGAGATATTCAGGACTGAAACTGAGTATCACTAGTGGTATCTTATTGAGCTAAGAATAGATAACGCTAAGCTTCTATCTACTATGCCTATCTTTGATTAGCCTTATAATCTTTACGGTTAGACACCTACGGTATACAGTTAGCGCTGTCATTTGTCAGGTCAGACGGCCTATCACCGTATGACCGTCACATGACTGTCAAATGTCAGTCATTACGCATCCCTAGACTTGGTACCTTATGTGTCTCGTATGCCATACCAGTGTACTATTGTTTCGCTCATACATACTTCGCCAACTCTGAGGTTGTTGCTGCTGTGATCTTTGAACCAAGGCTGTGTTCAACATTCTCGCTAGGCTCGTGTTGACACGTCTGCCGCACCTCGTCAACACTTCTGGCAAGGATTGCTTGCTACTTCGTTCTCCTTTGTCTACATTCCCAGACGATTTCTTGGAAATCCCATCGACCACACACAATGCCGGGAACCAGGAGGATCTCTTTGCCCGTCCAGAAGCTATCTCCCGTACTCAAACTTCCTCCCGAGATTCGCGACCAGATTTGGAGGTATGTCGTTGTCAAGGACGGGGATGTGGTTCTCCACGATCGTATGCGCCAGGACGAACTGCCAGAGAGCAACTTCCGCTCTGCGAATTCGATGGAGATACAGTCTACCTGGGCTATAACGATATATCGTTTCATGGAGACAGTATCGTTACAACCAAATTATCGTTAAGCCTAGATTTGCACTAATTACTATTGAAATACGCCTAAATCGATGCCTGCTTTTACGCAGAAGCCTTACGAGCCCTGATCTCTCTCTCATATCGATTCAGACGTGTGATTAGTATATCATCGCCGTCGTTTTGTTGTTCCTCGTATAATTATAGACGTTCCAGTAGCTTTAGGGCCTCTGAATCCTTCTTCAAGAACCAGGCCTGAAGCGCCTGTGTCTTACGCTTACTATCTGATCTAGTCGCATTGTATAGACGTATGTCTCGTCGTTCAGCGTCAGTAACTGCCCGGCGTCGTTTTCGAGTAGAATTAGGCGGTGGGGGGGAGATAGATGCCCTGGGACCACTGGAATCCTATTTTAATGGCGGCGACGATGGCGAGGATATATTGTTTAGGGCCATTGGATATAACGATATTACTGAATTTACTGGGTAAATGCTAACGATATCGTAGTAGACAAGTTATCGTTATTCTACACCAAAAATAATCATTGCATGGCTGTGCAATCGTTACAACCAGAATATCGTTATGTGGCGAATCGTTATAGCCCAGGTAGACTGTACACCGGACGGACGACGGACCACTCCCGAGCTCGAGGCTCGCAGTCGCCTTCACATGCCGGCAACTTTACCTAGAGGTGACTCCCATCTACTACCGCGACAACACCTTCCGCCCTGGGGAATCATGGTATGATTTCACGTATCGCGAGGTGATCGAGAGTTTTGCCGATGCCATTGGGCCAACCAATGCCGGCAACATCACCGATCTCTGTTTCTTCGCGTGCTGGTATATCTTCGGTGAAACTCTCTCGCTGCTGCCAGGGCTGAAACGGCTGCATTTCGTAAGATCTTGGATCCGGGATTGGGATCGGAGAGTCACCATCGTAGCTCAGAGACTCACGTCGTTGGTCATAATATATGATGGAGAGGTGTGGGGGCCGGAAAAATGGAGGTTGTACCCAGCAGAAGATTGCCGATATCCCGCCGGAGGGCCCGGCTGAGTAGGTTTTGGCCTCCCAAATAGCTGTCGGCTTCAGTCTTCTGGGAGACCGAGTAGAATAGCTGGTCGACTGATTGTACAAAAAAAGGAATGAAGATCAATTTACCCCTGGTCTCCTGCGCCTTGCCATTGTGACATACGGACGTTAGCCGGTGGATTATGCATCTGTATTTTCTTTGCATCCAGACTACGGGACATGTTGAGGGCAATCATAGAGTCCCCACACTCGGTTCTTTCAAAGACCTCCAAAAGCACCATAGCACAATATTCTCCGCTGTTTCGAAGATCAAGGAGCGGCGAGCTATGGGAGTTCTTACAAGTTGGATTGTTGCCTGGGTCTCTTCTATCGACCTCGTGCATAGCTGCAACAAGTATTGATGTGTCATGCCACAAGTGCCAATGAGATTGCGTACGATCCGGAGGCAGCACAGACATTCGTGCTATCTTACAACCCATTACATAGAAATGAAAGCTCTTCTCACGCTGCCTCGCTCTGCAGTCCTACTCCGAACATTTCTCTCGAGAACGGTATCCTGTACGGAGGTCTACACCATAATTCCTGGCCAGCGTTAGTGGAGCCTTATCCCGACTTTCGGAAAGCGACCCCATTGCAGGGGGCCCTAGAGCTTTTTCGTGGGAGCGCATGAGTTGAGCTTTAGGGACCTCTATTGGGCCCTGTAAAGGCAGTGGGCTCTAAACTAGGTAAGCTCAGTTCAGGCGCGACGATTCCGAAGCAGATCTAATCGTGTCTACCCCCATTTGCGCCCTACCCCCATTTGCGCCCATTTGAAATCCGATAAATCCGACATAGAAAACTACCACTACCATGGCTACCACTATCACTCTTTCAAATGGCCTACTACCATAGTCTATTATAATGGCTAATGCTACGGTACCCATAGTCGCCGTCTGTAGGCCTGGCATAGTAGGTGTCTCTGCCCTGGACTTAGATGTGGCCTGTTTTTATCCTAGCGATATATGTATCTAAGTAGTATTCGATATTTCATCTAGGCCCTATAATACAGTGGAATACTTATTAAAAATATTATAAATTATCTAATTAGTAATTAGTCTCTCGGCGTATAATTATAAGTTTAAATTCACTAAATACTCTATTAAATGATTTTGAAAATAATAAAAAAAAAAAAAATTAATATTTAATTTCTTATAATTATAAGAGAGTTTATATTATAAGTATATAGTTTATTCTAATTTATAGCCTATATCTATCTTATATATATTTGAAATTTATTAAATCTCTATTAATTTACTCTTAAATAGACTTTTAATTTTTTTTTTTAATATTTTAAAACGTTATATAAGATAGAAATTATAATATATCTTATATAACGATCTTAATATCTAGCATTATAATATTATAAAATATTAATTTTAAAGAGATTTAATAAAGAAATAAAGAAATAATAATTATAAACGTATTTTATTATAGAGTAATTATTTGATATTATTATTTTAAATAGAGAAGAAATTATAAAATAATACGCTTTAATTAATTCGAGTACTCTCGAGTTAAATCGAGTTATAGACTTTAATTTATAAATTAATATTAAATAAATTTCTTCTTAAGATACTATATTTACGAAATTATTATAAGATATTTAATAATAATAATAAGATCGAATAGTAATATAATATAGTTTTTAAAGATCTTTATAAATGAAATAATAAGAATAGCGTGCTCGATAGACTTTATATGAAAAAATTGTTAAATAATAAGAGTCTAAGTAATTAAATTTTAAATATAGAAAAATAAGGCCTTAAGGAGCTTTCTAAAGACTTCGAATAAATCTAAATTATTTAAAAATACGATATTCGAGATTCTAGCGGTGGCCTATTAATATTATAAGTCGAGTATCTTCTATTATTTAAAATAGATATATGTAAGCCTTCTATATACCTTTCTATAAGTCTTTTTATAAGCCTTTCTATAAGCTTTTCTATAAGCTTTTCTATATATCTTTCTATAAATCTTTCTATAAGCTTTCTTAGTCTAAAAAATATATATATATATAAGTCTTTTTATATTAATTAGTTATCGAATAGATAATTTAAAAGACTAAGAAAAGAACTTATTAATTTATAATTCTACTATAGTAAAAAAATAATATATTTCTTTTATCTTTTCTTCGCTAATAGCTTTATTAATATCTTTATTAAAGACTTTAAAGTTTTTTAAAGAGGTATTTAAGAAGAAATATTTAGAGATTATATTTAATAAGTATAATTAAGCTCTTTTAGTCTATAAGAATAGCTTAGATTCTTATAAAAAGAAACTTAAAATTAAATTAATTATATTATATTATAAAGTTATTTCTTCTATACTAAATCGATATATTATTAATAATTATTCTTATTAAGAAGTAGTTAAAGATTAATAATAATTTAGTTCTATAGAGAAGAAAGCTTTAAGAATATAAATTTTATAAATAATAGAGTAAGGCTAGTCTTCTAGAGTTAATCTTATTTATTATGTAATTAATAAAATACTAATAGCGAAGTAAGATAATAGAGAGTTAAATATAAATTGAATTTACGACTTTTTTAAATATTATTTAGATCTATAAAGTTAATTTAGTTAGTTTTTAAATAAAGAATATATTATAACTTATAATATAGAAAAGATATTATAATAATTTTAATTTATTAAATTAATTATTTAGAGATATAATATTTAAAAGAAATATATATATAATATAAATAAGAAAGAGTTTATTCTTAATTCTATTAGTAAAATAAGAGTTATATACTTTAAGTATAATATATATATATATATAACTTAAGATGAGAGTAGAGAGTAAGCGACTTTAATCGAATATATATTCGTGAATAAAAGATTTTTTTTCTTATTTATTATCTTTAAGAGTAAGCTTTAAATAAAAACTTAATTTAATATCTTAAAGAGAAAGAAATTAATAATTATATTAAGTGAAAATAAATAAATAAATAATATATTAAACTTAAAGTAATTTATTAGATATATTTTATTAATTTCTATTTATATAATTAACTTTTAATTTATCTCTTATAAATACTTTAAATTATAGACTTAAAGAATATTAAAAGAAAGATATTATTTTTTAATATATAACGAGTATATATTATATATTAGTATTAAAGTTATATAGTTTTATATTAATAATAATATCGTTCTCTTATATCTATCTATCTATTTTATATATATTCTTTAATTATTAGATATTAAATTTTTTTAGTCTTTAACGAGTAAAGGTCTATAAATTAAATTCATAATTATTTTTTTAATTAGGGCTATTAAGTAAGTATATAAGCGATCTTTAGTAAGCGAACTTTGATAAGCGATATTTGAATTCCTTGCGCTTTAATAATTATAGAACTAAATTTTAAAATTTTTAAAAATTCGAAAAGCATAAATAGCGCTTCAAAATTTAAAAAAAAGATCTCAAAATTTTAATAGAAAATAAAAAAGTAATTCTATGTGTTAATAATATATACCTATTTTTTTAATAAGGGAGATATAAGAGAGCGAGATTTTAATAGTTGCGGATGCTAATTTATTTATTTACGATAAGTTAGCCGATTTAATTAAAAAGCGTAGAGAATCTAAATTAATAATTGACTATATATATAAATTCAAGATTTTTAAGCTTAATTCTATCTTATTCTATTATATATACTAATAATTATATATTAAAAATATCTAATAGAGAATATCGTATTTAAGAGTAATTACTTAATAAATAAAATAGACTTTATTCGATTTATTTAAATAATAAGAATAAATATCGTAATAGAAAAGAATATTAGATATATATAGTAAAAGAGTAAGCTATTTCTAATTTAATTATAAGTTATTCTTAATAAATTTAAATTTAAAATATTAGAATTAAGATTTATTATATCTCTATCTCTAGAGATAATAATTATTATATTTAATAATAACTCTTTATTTATATTCTTTATTCTAATAAATATAAAATAAGTTTATTAGCTAATTTAATAGATTAAAACTAATAATCTTAATTTAATATTATTAAAAAAGTTTAAAAAAGTATATAATTTAGCGCTAGCTAATAATATCTTACTTTATATTATTAATAAGAATTTTATTAAAATAGAGTAATAAAAAAAGAATAAGATTAAATATAGATAAATATATTAAAGCGAAGAATAACTTATAACTCTTAAGCTTATTTAGAGATAAATAAAAAATTTAGCTAATAAGAAATTTAAGAAGTAATTTCGAAGTATATATTATCTCGAACTAGCTATTTCTAAAGATATAAAGTATTAGAATCGATATAGATATAATATTAATATAGATATATTAAATAAGATAACTAAGATATCGAACTATATAGATAAAAAGAAGATATAATATAATAGAGAATATCTCCGCTAAGGCTCGCTAGTTATAAAGCTAAGAAATATATTAAGAGTACGCTTATAATATTATCCTCTCTCTTTATTAAATTATATCTTATAATTAGTAAGTAGAAAGATAGAAAAATAAGTATATATATACGCTTAACGTCTAAAAAATAATAAAAATAGTAAAGAAATAATTATATCTAAGATCTTCTAATATAGTATTTTTCTTTAAGAGCGATATTAGTAATAATAATAGCTCTTCTTAATTATATTATAGCGATATTATTAATTATAATTTAAACGTATATAGAGAGTCTAATTAAGAGGAAATCGATATAATTATAAGATAGTAAGATCTCTTTTAATGGAACTGCGTAGTAGCTATATAATTACGAGGTCTAGATACGTAGTTAATAGAATAGATAGATTAATTACTAGATAAATTAATAACTAAAGAAAGAAGAAGAAGAAAGAAGACTTATAAATATTTAAGACTTTATTAAATATATTAAATACTCGCTCTAATTACATAGCTTATAATCTAATAAGTAACGTAAGCGAGCTTATTAATTCGCTTCGAGTACTTTTATTCTTATAATTATATCTTCCCTTAGAAGATATAATCTCTAAATCTTATTATTATTATATTTTATAATTAAATATTATAAACTTACTAGCTTCGTATATATTATCTATTACTAGCTTAAATATAGTCTAAACTAATATATACTATAATAACGTATTTAAACTACTTATCTCGAGGTCTTTTTAAATATATTAATATATTTATATACTAAATCGCGATAATATTACTTTATATATTATTATCT